GCTTTTGTTTATATCACCATATCATCCAGGTAGGCCTCATCAGCAAAGGCTGTTCCTCAAGGGGATTTGCCCATCCTGAGTGTGTGCTGCTGTATTTACTAAGCACTGGGGAGCTGAGAGGTAAGAAGGCTCAACAAGGGGACTTACTTGCCATGTCACGTAACTAGGTTTCAGTGATGCAGACCAAGTCTCCTTATTTATTAAATCCTCATCTGCTTTGTGCTCATTATCTCTTCTAATAAACCACTTACTACACTAATACCCCCACGAATCCTGCTGAGATTAGTAGAACTACAGAGCACCAGTGAAACGTCTGAAACTTCTCTGTCAAACTCTGATGAGGCAGAGCTCTTACAAGGCACACCATAAATCATTAAATAAAAAGCCCATCAATCTGTCCCCAGACAACTAGCAGTGACATATCACAGAACAATTAGGGTTGGAAGGGACCTTAAAGATCAGCTAGTTCCACCCCACTGCTATGGGCAGGGATATCTTCCACTAGAACAGATTGCTCAAAGTCCCATCCTACCTGGCCTTGAACACTTTCATGTCTCCTGTTTGTCAACTACTTGGGGCTTAAGGTTACATCACAGAGTTGCTTCGGTAGCACCAAAATCAAGAGCTCATGATCACAGAATCTGATTCTTAAAATTCTGAAAATCCCAGGTCCTTGAGATAGGCACAAAGTCATCTCTTTTCAAGTCTGCTACTGAATGGTTAACATAGCCCATTTCAATACCTTCCTCTTGGTAGATATGTTTAAATAACTACATCCTTCACTCAGTGAAAAACGAGGTCAGCTCCTCAGACAATTTTCTCCATAAGAAACCAACCTTGCTGAAGTCTTCATTCAAATTTGTAGTGATTTTGTGACAGGAACCTTAATTCATAGATCCTTAAGACTCCTACCACTATTAGTTTGAAAAGATGATTATAAATCCTCCAGCCTTTATAAGGACTGGCTAAGTTAATTATTTCTTAAAATTCATCAGGTGGTTATTATCTTTTCGTAAATCTAAAGCTATTGAGTTCTTTACCCTTATCAAAGACTTTCAGAACAGGCAGTACAGATCTCAAGGTCATTATTTATCAGGAAGCTTATACAGAAAACAGATGCAAGAGCTGCCTCCTGGTAATATTTTCCTACAATAGGTCAAGAACATTTTCAAGGCTTTCATTCCAAAATTTGCTTCACGTAGAGCTGTGGAATTGAAACAACCTTTACAATTGTCAGAGGCATTTTCTAGTGTCAGTAATACGGTAACTGCTCAAAACCTTATGCCAAAGCTTGTACTTTTGTTCTTAAAATTGTCACACTACAGACAGGGAAAGTCTTGAAATGAATAAAGCCCAAATCCAAACCAAAGTAAATTTGAGAGTGGGTATTTATCTTGATACAGAAAGATTTTCTTTCCTTTCTTCTTCTCCTTAAGTAAGTACTTATGATCAGAGAATGATAAGCCCCACTTAAAAAAGACAGTACTTTTTCAGCATTTCTAATGTGTCCAGAAAACCAAAATACCTCACCCCTAAAGCTGAAGACAGTAAATATTCTGGTCCATTTGCATGATGTGAAAAGTTACAGCTTTAATAAAAAGACTTAACAATCAATTGCAGCTGTACTACATGTTTCACTACTTTTATAAATAGATTAATTTATTCATTCAAGTACTGTATAAGAAGAATGCAAGGCTTTTCTCTGGATCAAAAAGCAGTGAAAAAAAATTTAGTGGACTTGAACGAATCACAATTCACTCTGCTAGCAGTCGTTTATTGTGAGGACTGAACTATATATCCATAGCATACTTACAGCTCACTCCACTTTGCTTTTTGAGAAATGCACCAAACAGTAGTCAGCAGTTGAAGTAAAACAACATAACCATAATTTCACAGATAAATGTCTTCACGCTCATAGATAGATGCTTTATTGTTTTACACTTTGTATTTCACCTATGGTTGATATGATACTGTAACTGTTAGTTTGTGTGTGCTACATTGTGGATTGAATAAGATAGAAAGATTTCAATAAAAATATCTCACCCATTTAACTTATTTTAATCCTAATTACATAGCAAGTTGCTACATTAAAGCAGCATAAAATGAAATGTGGTGTTATGTGATCTCTTTCGTCTTGTTAGTTGCTTTAACAACGTTAAAAACTGCTAAAAAAGCTTTTATAATAATATCATACAATTCTGTTACTGAATTTTCTAGAGCAGCATCTGAGATCCTGCAGGGCAGGGCAGATGTAGCTCTTTATTTCACCCAGGTTGCCATGCCTGGGACCCCTTTAATGCACAGACCAGTGCAGGTGTTTTTCACGGTCTCCACAGCCCCAGCAACAAGGGGGTTCCCCAACCTCGCTCTAAAGGAACAAATACATCGATTTACAAGATCTAACCACACAGTTTGGGTTTGGATTTGTCATCACAGCTGCTTCAGTGACCCAGTGATTTTTCTGAATACTCCACTTGCGGGAGATGAAAAGCAGCAAAATTCTTTTCTCCTTAGGAGTCAAATTACATTTTCCTTATACAGTTTCTCATGCTGATGAGATTTTCTTGTGGATCTTCAAACTCCATGTGACATCTGGTATTATCTATATTTATCTATATATCTACCATAAGATATTAAATATACAATTCTTTAAGAAACAATGGGGTCAGTAGACTTCTCTGACAGAAGTGCTATTTCTCTGCCTGTCTATGGACTGCTGAGCAAGCTCAGATCTGGGAGACAGCAGCGGGTAACAGTAAGAGATCTGGAGCAGTTCCAAGAATCTGAAACAAAATTCACAAGCAACAGAGAAGACTGTAGAAAATTTGATGTAACTTCAAAATTCACCAAGCCGCATCAAATCAAGACCTGCCCTGCAAGAGGATGTCACACTAATCAAGAATTAGGCACAAATACTGCTACTTCTGGTCTGATGCATCTAGTTGCCTTGAGTTTTTTCCACCAAAAAAACAAGTCATCTTGACTAGTCAAACAGATTTTCTGAGTTTTCTCATTGCCTTTTTGGAGGAGGTTCCTTCAGGAGAAGGCAACTACAGCTCAAAGGTGTCACTGACTGTGTGTTTTAACTGCATTTTCAAGGACACTCAAGAGAAGTATTTTTCAAATAAACTGGTTTAAGCATATTGCCTTGAAAAACAATCCAGGGAAAAGAAGCAGACCAGGAAAGAACTGTATCTGTGATGCACTCACTAAAACACTATGCACAAAAGCTTTTGGCACTGAAGTATCTCCTCACAAATTTTACTTGCAAGTGCTTGTTTCCTTTTCCGCTGTGAAATGACATTCCTACACACTACTTTAAAGTGGCAATCCATTATTGAAGATGCAGGAAGCAAACATCAGCAATTGAGGAACAGGAACCTCTCCCATCTTTAAACACTGCAACAAACCACCATTTTTATGCTCTTATATCTTTTGGAGTGTGCTTTCTTTTTCCTTTCACCTTCCTTCTGTCAGAGTATTTCAGTGCTGGAAGTTACTGTGAACTGGTTGCTTCCATATCGAATGACCAGAAGTATGTGCATCTTTACATATCCAAATGAAGCCATATAAATGTTCACTTTTTTAACACATCATCCTCCCAATCTTTTCACTTCATTGATAATCCTATCTAGATAAACAATAACAATCTACATATGCATTTCTTTTCAACCACGAGGACACTCAGGAGGAGAACACATTGAAAGATTCAGTCTCTGATGTGTTTTGCTCTCACTTAGATGCATTCACTGCCATGGCAGATAATCAAACAGCACAGATGTAACAGAAAGTCTGACTATTTTACTCCCTTTAGGTGTGAGACAGAGTAATAATCACACCCACTGGAACAATCCTACTCTCAGATCTTTTGTACTTCAGCAGAACTCAGGAGAGGTGCTGGGTTACCAACACCCTTATTATATGATGCAAAGATGACAGGGGTTAATGAAATGTGGTACAGAAAGCTGCAGAAAGACACATAACTGTAATATTTAGTTATAAAATTTGTTGTTGATTTTGTGCCCATTTTAATAAAACAAATGTTAACCACTTTATAATGTGACTGACAGGCAGCAGCGTTTTATATCAACTCTACAGAAGAAGAAGCTCTTTATCAGCACTGTGTTCTCCTTCCACTTGTGGAATAAATATTAACTTCATCTTGTGGTTATGCATGCAGGTATCATGGCTAGGACCCCCATGTGTATTTGAAAGGAAAGTTTATTCTTCAGCTTGTCGGCAAAAGATAACATTCAAGCCACTTTTATAACAGATAAAATCAGGAACATCTCCACCTCTCACAAAATATAACAGTGTCAACACCAATAGAAATTGAGACCATAAATAACATTAACTTTTTTTGAATAAAATTTCTATGTTATTACTAACAATATTCCTCTGTAAACGTGCACCCAGAGTAGTTTAAACTGAATGGAATGAAAATGCTGGCAAGGGTATTACAGCTCAGGAGGCATCTGAGGAGTTATTATGTCTCTGGTTGATTAATTCACAGAATAGCCAAGGTTGGAAGGGAGAAATTACAAAATTGCCTAATGACAGCAGGTTATTGAGGACCTTGTACAGTTGGGTTTTGAGTTATTAGTCTATGTCAAGCAGAGGAGAAAACAAGAGGCCAGCTGCTGGCGTCGAGGAGCAGTGACCCTCTGTAGAATAAAAAGTCCAACATGCAAGTTAAATAGCAAAGGCTTCATGTCTTTCACTGCAAGTTCCAGGCTTTCCAGGCTCTCAGGAGATACTTAAGATGCAGGAACAACATCATATAAAAATATGCCTCCAATCTATCAATATAGGGGTGCAGATATGGCTATTAAAGGTTGCAGTGCTATCACAGATGTCCCTTTGCTTTACTAGTCATCTTATTTTACATTCTCCACTCTCAAAAGCAACAATGACAAAGGTTCCAAACCTTTATTACTTCAAACTCCTGTCTTCTCTTCTGAATAGAGATGGTACAGAGGACAAACAGACAATAGTTGGTAACCAAGCTGACAGTCACATAAATTCCCTGACATACTGCCCAACTTATTTATGTTTCCTTCACTAAAAACTTAGGAAAAAATGACCTTCTATAGTAAGGGTAAGCAGACCAAACCAGAATTTTTTAGGTACTTCAGTATGTCAAACACCTCTCCTGTTGGAAGAACAAGTAGAGCAATGACCATGTGAGAAAATGAATATCAGTATGTGCATAGAAGTTTCTCAGCTAAAGCAGAAGACAAATTCTGGCCAGAGCAAAGTCAAATACAGAAGAATGCACTTCTTCTGTTTATAATACTATAGTAACAAGACAAATAACTAAAAAAATCTGACATGCTACTGACTATCACTATTGAAACAGATCAGTTACATTCATGCTCTGGAGGAGATAAATTGCATTCTGTATGTTCTCCCAATGTTTCAGATAAAATAAAACATACAGTTATAAGAAATTTAGAGAATAGTAGCTGAAAATCATTGCATAGTATCAGCAATATCCGAATAAAATTAATTCTTTAATAAAACTCCATGACCTAGTGCCAGGTAAATGCTTATTCAACTGTGTTTACTCTCAATACGTGTAAGCATGTGTAGCAGTCAGAAAAAAACGCCAATCATGAGCACTTCTGAGGAAGCTTCAGTGTCTTGGAAACTAGTTTCTGATTGTCTGTCTGAATTTAAATTTTGTGAAAATAGTTTAAGTTGCATGTCTGGATAATTACTTGCTGGGCAAGAACAACCCCTTGCAGCAGTACATTCTGAGGGCCAACCAGCTGGAAAGTAGCTCTGCAGAAGACAACTTGGTGGTACTGGTGGACAGCAAATTGACTATGAGCCAGCAGAGTACCCTTGTGGCCATATCAGGACCAGTGTTCTGTACCATACGAGGCAGAGTATGTTCAGCGAGTTGAGGGGGTGGTCTGATCCCTTTACTCATCATTGATGAGACAGCTGGAGTGACGTGTCCAGTTCTGGCCTCCCCGGTACCAGTGAGACATGGACATAGTGAAGGGCCACAAAGATGACTGAAAGCCTTGAACATCTTCTAAGGGGAGAGGCTGAGAGGGACTGTTCAGCCTGGAGAAGAGAGGGCTTAGGGAAGAACTTATCATTGTATATAAATGTATAGAAATATCTGATGAGAGGGAGTAAAGATGATTGAGCCAGACTCTTTCTCAGTGGTGCCCTGTGTCAAGATGAGAGGTAATGGGCATAAACTTAAATCCAGGAAAGTTCATTTAAACGTAAGAAAAATATTTTATTCTATCAATGTGTTCAGACACTAGAATAGGTTGCCAAGAGGAACACTGTGGAACTACATTCTCAGAGAAATTCAGAACCTGACTGTACATGGCCCTGAGCATCCTGATCTGGCTGAGTCCGCTCTGAGCAGGTAAGTTGGACTAGAAGACCTGCAGAAGTCCTTCCCAACATCAACTCTTCTGTGGTTCTGTAGTCTTTGTGCAGATGTAAGATGGAAGAAACTATATTTTCTTAGTATACTTTCTGCAACAAGCTTTTTATTCAGACCTTAAATCTTAAAATTTATTATGCTTTAGAAGTGTATTAGTACTAAAAGTATAGTTAGCAGTAGAAGCTCTCTTGCATAACTTATTCTGTGAACTTCTTCAGAGCTTTGACTGAATATTCTACAAAGTATCACAAATTCTGCTCTCAGGGGCCCACTAAAGTACACATTTTCACTTTTATTTTCCAAATTTATTACTAGACAGTACTGTCACCCATTCTAATGAAGAGGGCAGTGCAATTACTCAGAATCCCCTGCACGGTTATATATATCAATGCAACATACAACTTCAATAACTAAATGAAACATTCTCTTTGCTTGTCATTCTACAATAAAATATTCAATTTAAAAAAGTCAACTACAAGAAACACTAATTCTCATCTCCTAGTTTCCTCTCACACACACAGGAAGAAACAGCACCAACTGACAAGCTGAATGCTGCAAACTGTTGTTTTCTGCGTTCACCATAAAATAATGAAAAAATTATAATTTAAATTACAATCAAAGGTTTAGTTGTCAAGAAAAACAAAAATAATGTGTCTATTTAATGATAATTAAAATTATTCTGCTCTTCTGAAGGAGCATGAAGCAAGCACACAAGAGAAGCAAGCACACAAGAGAGCTAATCTAAATGCCACAATTTTCAGGACAGAAGAGGAAAGGTTGATTTCTATGAGATAGATAAAACGCTCATAAATTCTGACTGAAATCAAATGTAAAAGATGTAAAAGATGCCGATGCAGGCAATCTACCCACACAGAGCAATGAGACCCTACTGCCAACAACATGGACTGAACAGAATGGGAGGAGAATGCAATAACTTGAAGCTCTGTAAAATCTACAAAGATAAATTAAGGACAAAGAGTGCCATCTCCACTTTGAGGTCATATACACATTAGAAGTGTTGATAGCCGTGAATTTTTTTAGAGAGTAGTTGTTTAAAAAGAAATATTACAATTAAAGAGACAACAAATAGTGCTAAGAAATGCAGTGGCAATGACCTTGCTTCACAACCAAATAACCCAAAGAAGTAAACAGGGAAAAAAGGGGGAATTAATAAGACTCCTTTTTAGTTAGTCAGACTTTGACTCAAATTCAGACTTGGTGACATCCATGAAACAAGAGCTAATCACACAAGAAACAGATTTTGACTCTTGAACATAACAAACAGCTAAAATGTGGTGTTTTATGTAACACAAAGATGAAAATAAAACAAATTAACCCAGTCTAACTGAGCATGGAGACAAAAAGGAACAGAAAACATGGTTTGTTTTCATTGAAAATAGTCTTGATATGTCATTTGGTTTCTGTATTATATATCTGACAAGTCTTGCAAATGACATGGATGACTCTGATTTTTCATGCTAATGCAGAAGCATGGTGACAGACCTGAGGCTGTCCAGGGCAGGGCGTGCTGCCAGCTCTTCATACATCTGAGCCTGCTAGGACTACTTCCAGGCTGCAAGCTACGAAACAGCCAGGCTTCAGTGCTCATTGCATTCTGAGAGCATAGCTACAAAGCTCACCTCACTAATTTCGATTTCCGTTACCTTTCAGGATACTCAATTTTGCTGTTCTCCACAGTCTTGTGTTTATTTCAGAAACTGAGAAGCCCACCCAGGAAACCCTTCTGGTATTTGGGATAAATAATATTGTTTGGTTTTGCAGGCTGATCTTTGTCAGTGACTTTAGTACAGTCACTACGCTTATAGTAAAAGGGTGCAGAAAACAACTATGAAGTTCACTGACTTGATTTATAAATTCCACGTTTTTTCTGCCTCACAGCTGAAGTCTCAAGGGCTTTGGGTTGGGGTTTTTGTTTGTTTATTTCAGAAGGCCTGTGCACTCTGGCTGGGCTGTGGATTTAACAGACACAGCACACTCTGGCTGCTATGCCACTCTGTACAAGAAGGTCCTTGCCAGCTGAGGGGAACTGTGTCTTTAGGAAGGTCTGGCAGAGAGTTACTGCAGCTGGTTGCTATGTGCCTCCTGTCCTGCAACACTGGATTCTACCACTGGATAAAGCAAACTTTGCCTCTGCATGGTTTCTGAACACTACAGAAGGAAAATAAAAACATAGACAACTCAGTTCTCTGTGGTCAATCTATCTTTCTCAGCTCAAGCAGCACTTTAAGTGTTTCATGGTGCCTGGAGTTAAATCCAGGCGAGCTGTGTATGTGCAACCAGGAGCACTGAGGTGTGGGCAGCAGGCACAGTTCAGTGACAGCCAGCTAAGGAACTGTTGCACTGACATTTGAAAATGCAGGACTTTCTTCATCAAAGTGGTATTTTAAACAGACACCCAAAAGAAGGTGGGAACAAGAGAGTTTGTGACACATCTACGGTGAAGAATTGGTCTTGTCATTTGAGGTGGAGAAACTGAGCAACAGAACTGGCTGACATCTGATCGAAAAAAACTCAGAAGGGAATTACCGTGATCCCAGAATTAGCCCTTTAAAAAGCCACTAGGATTTGTCTAGCAAATAAATTACCTAAACAGAACTTGGGATCAGAAGACCTGTGGGACAAAAAGGCATGTGAAAGAATCTACAATAAATACAGCACTGCACCTGACGGTGCTAGACAAGACATCTATGTTCTTCAAACACCAGTCACAGTGTCTGAAGAAAATGATGCCATATCTATTGCTATACCTGGTGTTTGAAGGAAGGCTGAAGAGTGACACAGGTTTGCCTGCTCTTACGCTCTGCACAGGACTACACCAGCAATGCAATTACTTCCACAGAAGTAATGAATGAAACAACAAAGTATCACGATTAAGCTTAAGGTGATGAAGGGCTCACAAGGCAAAATGGCAGCTAAAATAATGCCTAGTCCTCAAAATAAATGCATAGCTAATGAAAACTAAGTATAGTTTTGCAGTTAATTAGTGAGCAAACATCCTGTAAGCTGGCAAGTTAAGCATACATATAGCTAAACAAATAACCGGAAACTACTCAGTTTATAGCTTTTACCAACAAAAACATGTATGAATTAAGAGGATAATAGCATGCCTCATTCTTGGTCTCGCTCAGCCTTATCTTTCCTCGGAGAGGCAAGGAATAGGCAACTGAAGAACATCCTGGCAGAATATACCACATTCATAAGAGTTCAAATGACCTATAGTTTTATGATGATTTATGCAGCTTACCACAGGGCAACAGCTTAAATGGAGAGAGAGTCACTTGGTGCTCTGACAAAGAAGTAAGGAAATAGGTAGTTCTGGTTCTCCAGAAATGAAACAAAGACTAGTTAAAGATGCAACCCAGCCCCTGTAAGGCTAAAATACAAATATGAATATGAAAGAAACATTTGGATGCCTCAACCAGGGAAAACCTGAAGGACATGGACTAGGAAAAATGCTAAGGCAATTTTGCAATACTCTCATCTTCAAGAGAGGTTATGGGACAGGGCACAGAAATGCTGTATTAGTAAAAAGCACACTGGTATCAGGACTGGTAGCACCATCACTACGTTAGTGAGGTGCACAACTTAGCTATTTGTTGAGAGTTCGGTTTTTTTGCTCAAGTTGACCTCAAGTTGTGCCAGGGGAGGTTTAGATTGGATATTAGGAAAAATTTCTTCCCAGAAAGGGTTGTCAGGCATTGGAACAGGCTGCCCAGGGAAGTGGTTGAGTCACCAACCCTGGAGGTCTGTAAAAGATGTGTAGGTGTGGCACATAGGGACATAGTTTAGTGGTGAACCTGGCAGTGTTAGGTTTACGGCTGCTCTCAATGATCTTAAAGGTATTTTCCAACCTAAATGATTCTATGATTTTATGTCTGGCACATTGTTGCAGGGTTCTACTGCTTTCAGGTATCTGCATGATGTTGTACCTTGCAGGAGAAAATCAAGCGACAGCGTTTGTTTTGTACTGTTGCCTCATGCTTCAATTCATGGCACACATCACATTCTCCTCTGGGTGAGATAGTTTATCTTGGGCATGCCTAAATTTTCAGTCAGAAACACAAAAGCCATTTGTTAGCACAAAAACCATTCTAGAATGGTTAGAACAGTTGTCCAAGACTCTGAGGATCTTTGATGAGAGCCTGGTGTTCTGAGCAAAGATAAACAAATACCAGAGCGCCACATGAGAGGAAAGGCAAGCACAGAAACAAAGTTCAAAGAGAAGTATAAATAGACAGTAGGCAACACCATCATGTTTGCCACCCAAATAAAAAACTGTATGAAAACACACAGAACGGTCGGGAAGGTGGACTTGATGGTGCAGATGTGCAGCAGGTGTGAGTGCAAATCCCAATAAAGAATATGAAAAACAGTGGGAGTTTATTCACTGGGCCTCCAGACCTGGGGTAACATCTTAGGAAGCAAACAAACTGAACTGAACACCAGCCAATATTTTTGAGGATGGACACTGACAAAGTTTCCTTACAAGAGACTGAGCCACAGGCAAAATTAAACATCACATAGCATATGTTCTTGCAAACCTCTGCATTTTAATACATTCAAATGGTAAAACAGTCAATGTCTTTTCCATGGGTACAACAGTGACATGGTTTACCAGCCAGCACAAATAGGCTTTTGTTCATCAGAGGCCAATGCTGGCTGATATTCACCAGAAGCCAACAATTGCTACTTTAAAACAAGTTTAACAATTACCACGTACAAGGATCCCAGAACAAAATACAGGCCATTTCCTCAACTAGCAAAGTATGATTTGCAAATTGAATATAAACTTAGAACTGAAATTTGGTCATTGCAGACACATTCTCCAAAGCATCTGAAAAAGTGCAGGGAAGTAAAGTCCAGAGCTGGATTATGTTAATCCGATTTAAAAGAAAAAAAGCCTGTCCAGTCTAAGATAGAAGGCAGACTTATTGCTGAGGCAAGATCCTGCATAAAGTAACTAAGGCTGTTACTAAAGGATGGCTAGGACAGTGTAATTCCAGCTCTTTTATCAGTTTTAAGGCTCTCAGCACTATATGGAGTTTTGTTCAAAGCCTACAGAGAGTGATTTCTGAGGTGCTAGAGAAATATCTCAAAAGGAATATATGATGGTCATTTATGGACTGAAGGAAACCACAGGACAGCTAGAAAATACATGTTTTAAGAAAAAATAATTTAAAATACAAAGTTGAATACATAACTTCATGAAACAAGAACAGTAGCATGAAGAAAGTTCTAAAACCTGGTCACATGCAAAACCTAGAAAAACAAGTCAAGAAGAAGACCTGCAAAGGTGTGCTCACAAATCTGATTGCAACATCTAGAACTAAACACTTCATAGAATCTTAGCCTTATTTCAGTTAGACAACGGTACCAAACAGTTCTATGCTTATACATATCAACTTTCTTTTTACCAGCCCTGGTGGAACTGCCACAGTACTTCTGACATTGCCCCTTGTTTAGAGGCCATGAATTTACGTAGTTTGAACTGAAGTATGATTTCAGACATGTAATGCCCATTTGCATTATTCATGAGTGAACAGTAAAAAACAATGTCAAAATAATGCTGAAAAACATATCTGACAAAGACTCTGGTCCACATACACCAACAAGGCAGAACCAGTGAATCCCTGGTTTTCAATGCCTGACATTTTTTAGAATAGGAAGCTGAAAACAAGAATACCTGCACTGGTGAAG